AAAACTATATTTGTTTCAATTGATCACAAATTGCATTACTCGCGTCGCCATCATAGTATTGCGTCGTATTGCCGTCCGTCCCTAACTCCGTTATCACCCTTGTCTTCGCTAAAGTACTTACTGGGCGGGTAGTCTCCTAAAGGAGTTCTATTTATAGTACAGCCCCCGCTTGGCTGAATCACCAAAATATAGGCTTAGACAAAACAAACGATCCGTGTAAATGAATATAAAAAAAAAACCGGCCAAGTGCGAGTCGGACTCGCGCACCGAGGGTTCCGTACAAACCTGCAAGGTTTACAATTTTTCTGTTACCTATGCTGTAAGCTATTGCTTCTTACCAAATTTCGAGATTCTATGTCAACGGGAAGTGGTCTTTAGGTTTTAATTCCCTTGCGTGTAGTTGCGAGTTTCAAAATATGCGGTATCAATGGTTGTACTTTTGCGTTTTGCGTTTTTGCGTTGACTTAGAATTTTTTTTTTTTCACGGGTTAAAGGCAATTAGATCTAAGTATTTGATATGAATTTCAACTTGATAGCTCTACGCGTTCATGAGGAAAAAAGTAATAAGTTTATATTTATTAAAAAATATATATTTTGTAATGTAACTAAAAATTTAAGGTTTTCGGAATTTTTCCTTTATGTGTGCTATAAAACGTTGCTTCATGCCAAATTTCAAGATTCTAGGTCGACTGGAAGTACCCTTTAGGTTTTGATTCCCTTGCGAGTACTTGCGAGTTTCAAAATATGCAGCTTAAATTGCTGTTTCTTTTGATTGCGTTGACATAGAAGTTTGATTTTGTTACAGCTTAAAGGTATTATAGACCTGAGTATTTGGTATGAATTTCAATTTAATACCTCTACGCGTTTATGAGGAAATGGGTAGTAAGGTTAAAATTATTAAAAAAAAATATATTATGTGATGTAACTAAAAATTTATGGTTTTCGTAATTTTTCCTTTATCTATGCTATAAGACGTTGCTTGGTACCAAATTTCAAGATTCTGAGTTCACGGGAAGCACCCTGTAGGTTTTGATTCCCTTGCAAGTGTCGAAAATTTGCGGCATAAACGGCTGTATCTTTTGATTGCGTTGGCTTAGAAGTTTGATTTTTTCACAGCTTCAAGGGACAGTAGACCTGAGTAATTGATATAAATTTCAGCTTCATACCTCCACGCGTTCCTGAGAAAAAGGGTCTTGACAGACGGACGGACGGACGGACAGACGGACAACAAAGTGATCCTATAAGGGTTCCGTTTTTCCTTTTGAGGTACGGAACCCTAAAAAGACAGAAAGTTTAAGTAGTACATTGGTGGAATACCGGATTCTGGAGGCCTACTCTGATTGAACGTAAAACGAAATTTCGATCGAAAATTCGCACTTCTCTTAGTGTTTCTGATTAGTTTTTAATTATAATAATATTCGTCGTCGGAATACAGATTAAGGTGTAGATTTTCTAAGCCTACTCAAAGAAAGCTTCTATTTGATAGTTTATCGTTGATATTAAGGAAATTAAATTTCGTTTGAATTTCGTTATCGAAAGCTCATTTCGGAGAAAGAGAGTAGACACCCTGGTGTATTTTTCTTTCCGTAATGATGTCATTATGTTTTGAAAATTACCTCTAAATAAAAGTTAATAAACAAGAACCATAACAGCAACGCCGCACCATTACAAATCAATAGCATGAAGTAGACTCTTCTCAATAAATTTGAAATATAATACAATAAAAAGAGCTTTTCAATTTAATGTTCCTGCTTCAAATGCTGCAGCCAACCTGGCCTTGAATGCTATTCAATACAGGCTTAATAAAGTTAAAAGCAGTTGATAGCCAGATAATGATCGCCCCAGCGTTCCCTATCTAGAACTGTGGCAACGATTTGTCCTCGTTTCCATAAAACGTGTCATTGGTTATAGATGTAAAAATACTTTTAAAATAACAAGAATCTAGGCCATAGTAGAATGTATAATGCATATTTATTTTTACCTAATTGATACTGGCATTGTGTTGAAAAGGCTTAGTCAGATCGACAACCACAAAACTTCTATCGTGTGAGCAGAAATAGGAAAATAATAGGGCGGGGTTCAAATCAACTTATTACCAACTCATTAAATGTTTCAACGCCGAAAATTAAAATTGGTACATTAATGTACTACTAGAAAATTTTGAGGGAAACTGGGGAAGTGGCACCAATGACCGACAAGAAGCAATGATCGACATTTTTTGAAGTGATAACGTTTTATAAATCGATGAACACTGACTGCACGGACGGAAAAGTGTCACGTTCCGCCTAAGCCTGAGCGTGCAAGCGAGAGCGCGGAACAAGCGATAGAGAGGCACGATCGGTCCAAGCGTCGGTTGTAGCAATTATCCAGCTCAATAACTGGGATGTGTTCTGTTCTGTTCTGTGATTTGTTGTTTAGGAAGTTCATCCTCTCGTACAAAATTTGCTTCAGAGATAAATTTTGTTCTATAAGTACAACCCATTAGTTGTACCAGTGACTTCGTCTGCGTGGAAAAATTTGTTTCCCATACAAACTTCCAATCCCCTTTTTTACGCACGCCTTCATCACTATAGCTATATGTGTGCTCAATTTCAGCGTAAACCGTTCAGTGGGTTGAACTGTGCTTTGATGGCTTTGATAGATCAATCAGTAACGATAGGTATTTTCATTTGACATTTCCTTATCCGTTTCCTAAGACGCATTGATTTAAGAGTTAGGGACTCCACCTTCCATCTGTCTTTAAGTTTTATGTTCGATACCCACCTTTACTGGAGATCGTAAATGCCTTGAATTTTTTATAGGTAGCCATTTTTATGACACTGTAGAATTTGTTCGCAGTTCCGAGCTCTAGTACTAACTTAAAAATGCGAATGATCGTTTTTACATTTAAGTGTTTTAATAGATGTTTTTTTTGTGACTACGCTGTGTAATTTGGACTTTTGAAGTTTGTAAGTGTATCATAAAAAAAATATGCAAGTAAGTTAGTTAATCTTCTAACCCTTCTAACCCGTTCCTTCGTGCTTCGGAAGGTACGTTAAGCCGTTGGTCCCGGCTGCATCTTGTAATGGTATTTGTCTCCTTCCCCTGCTCCCACTAGCTTACCTCAGAAAACAATGAAAACAAAGAAAGAAAACCAAAAAATAGGGGTAATATAATATATTGTACTGACCTCTTCGGGACTAAATAATTCAGATATTATAAAAATGGAGTTGTTATTCTAAGCATTCATGAAAGCTGATAAGGAGTATACAATGGTTCTTAGGCTCTATCAAAGATATTTTACTTACTCTCTTGTCAACAAATAACTAAGATATTATAAAAATGCGAGTTTTACAAATTCTAAGCGTTCACCAAAAACTTATAGGTAAAATTACAGGAGTTCTCAGATTATATTTAATTAAGAGTCCTACTGGCAATTATGAGACTACAAAAATAGACTTTTCTTAATTCTACACATTCACAAAAACTTATAAGGAATTCTTACTTAGGCTCGTTTGATCGATATTGGTGATGCTGAATGTAATATTCTTTCAATATGTTAATTATTGTTTTCAATAAGACCACCAGTTATATGTAGAAATAGGCGCAGTCCAACCTCGCGGGACTTCAGCCCTGTTCACCCAGGGTTAGTTAGGGAAATACCTTGAGTACTATAAGTTAAATGATTTATCCAGAGTCACGGCAGGATTACATCGACTGGAGCGCTGCTTGCAGCCTTTATTTTAATAATCTCACGCGTCTCTCCTGGCCCGTGTATAAAGAATAAATCTCCTTAATGCTTGTTTGTTTTGATTTAGTTCTTGAGGGGAACGTAGGGGCCCTGAAGTTCACATGGAGAAAATTGATAAGAAATTATAAATTTTCATATCTAGCGGGGTGGGTGACGGCCATTTACTGTAAAAGTGTATTGTCTTTGAATGACTGAATGACAGTTAGTTCGATTTTATTGAGTTAAAAAAAAAACATCTTTAATAATTTAACAATAATTATTACATTTAATGACTATAATCACCATACTGTGCCTGTGAAAAGGCTTGCAAATCATTTAGGGCTATGCGAATCAGATCAAGAATCCAGTTAACGGGTTCCAAATGAATTCTATCAATCCACAAATAATGAAATGAATTCTATCAATCCACAAATAATTTCTGTTACTCAGTTCCCCCTATCCAAAAGATACTGCCCCACCTTGCAAGATTCCAGAACAATCTATATACGATACGGAATACCAATAGGAAGGTTATTTTTCATGGACAGAACTTGCAAAATAAGTAGAAAAGGAAGTTAAGACAATTTTACCTTTCGAGATATTTTTACAATTTGTACACTACTTGATGTTCTCGCGTTATGTGTACCAATATCATCATCATCATCAGCCTATTAATGTCCCCACTGCTGGGGCACAGGTCTTCCCTATGGATGGAAGAGGGAGATTGGGCCATGGTCAACAAAGGGGGGCCAGTGCGGATTGATGGGTGCTGACGACTGCAGATGCAGCCGGGACCAACGGCTTAACGTGCCTTCCGAAGCACGGAGGAGCTCCAGATAGTAAAGTTTTGGTCACCCATCCAATAACCGACCACTGCGAAAGTTGCTTAACTTCAACGATCGCAGCCGAACGCGCTAACCACTTGCGCCATCGAGCTCCTCCAAGTGTGCCAATATAACCACCAGAATATAAACTTAGTTAGGTATGGGAGGTTTGTTAAGAACACCTGCGCAGGCGAGAGTTAGGGGTCGATTCCAACCGTACAAACAGTACTCGTAAATAAGCTTATCCGGCACCGGAACGGGTAGAAACCGGATAGAATTCATCTCGTTAACAAGCGCCCTAAGTGGAAAACTGAGATACGACGAGTCTTTCGTAATCGCAGCTCAATGGCAATTTGTTAAGGTCTTATACATACAGCCTAGTTTATAGATTCCCAAATGTATAAAGTGGATAAAAATATTGGATCATACTCTTCAACTTTTATTTTACAATTTTTTTTTTGTGACAGACACGCACTCGTCCACACCCGTGGTGTGCCTCGTGATAGAAGGCGGCACGAACACAGTACGCGCGGTGCTCGAGTATGTGACGGACACGCCACCCGTGCCGGTGGTAGTCTGTGACGGGAGCGGGCGCGCTGCTGACCTGATAGCATTCGTCCACAAGTGAGCAGATAAATTTCATAGCATTTAAGTATGCGTTTCCACTAGAGACATGCGAGGATACGTAGTCTACGCCTATGGTGTAGATTATGTTATGGACACCGTACCGGTGATGGTCTGTGACGGGAGCACACGTCGTGCCGACCTTATCGCCTTCTTCCACAAGTGAGCTGATAAATTTAATACCTACCTATAAAGGCTACATTTCAACCAGAGGTGTGTGAGAATGCGTAGTCTGCGACTGTGGTGTCGAGTATGTGACGGACGCGCCACCCATGCCAGTGGTGGTTTGTAACGGGAGCAGGCGTGCTGTCGACCTCATCGCTTTCTTCCACAAGTGAGTTGATAAATGTAATATCTATAAAAGCTACTTTTCAACCAGAGATATGCGAGGTGCGTAGTCTATTACTGTTGTGTCGTGTATGTGACAGACGCGCCCCCGTGCAGGTAATGGTCTGTGACCGGAGCGGACGCGCTTCCGACCTCATCGTGTTCGCCCACAAGTAAGCTAATAAGTTTAATAATAATGATAAAAATCCTTTAAGATTACGTTTCAACCAGAGCTATGCAAAGATGCATACTCTACGCCTGTGGTGTCGTTTGTATGCCAGTGATGATCTGGAGCAAGCGTCCTGCCGTCCTCATCGCCTTCGTCCACAAGTGAGATGATAACTTTAAAAGCTATTTAGACTACAATTGTGCTGGAGATGTGCAAGGATGCGTAGACTACGCTTTAATAGCTATTTACTGTAGAATCAATAGATAATACACATTTGAAGCCATCTGACAATGAAACTATTGCAGCATACATTTTTTCAATAAACGCATTGTGTCTTTATATAAACGTACATGCTATGCTTTAACGTGTTAAGCTACCAAAGTTACGTAACTTTGCATATCCAGCATCAGTAACAGACTGGGGCAGTTACGGTGCTTAAAGAAAAAGCTGATGCAGAAACTTGCTATATGGTGTCTACCAGTAACGTACCGTGGATTTTAGCTGCCCCAGGCGGAGGTAAATTTTGCCATCTCTCTCTCATCTTTGTTTAAAACGGAATGGTTTTAAAAATTTCGCCGCTCCTTATTTGGAACTCCATTAAAGGGTTAGGATTTCGTTTAAAAATAAAATAAGTTATTTTAGGGCGATGACAAATTTAAAACTCTGTCCCAACGATACGGCTCTGGTCAGTAGGTACTCTACTTTATAATAAAACAAGAACTTAAAAGCAACTAAAGCTGACACAAAGGGTTAAACTACCACGAAATCCGTGCGATAACTAAAGTATCGAAACTCAACTCGAGCTATATTCCTGACAATCTCGACACTAATGTTTCAACCCACTTCCGTCACTCCGACACAACACTACCAACAAGTTAATAAAACTTAAAACATTTCATCACTGTCAATAAGTTGTAAACTCGACGGCGAGGACGACTTAACAAACAACATCCTGCAAACAGCGATGCGCACTTCGCTTCAAATTCACTTTGAGAGGAAACCAAGGCTTCATATTCAATTAATTAATCTCGAAAGCTGCTACTGCAGCGCTGAATTCAACGGAAACACATAGGTGATTAAGTTTGATTAGAATAGTTTAATTTCGTGATATCTTTGATGTCGATATATTATGACTGGCGGCTGCTCGTGACTTCGTCGTTAACTTTAGTTTTTGAGAATCTTACAGAAACTTGAGATTTATCCAGGATAGAATGATTTTTATAGTCAGTGCAGGTCAGGAACTATATGCGAACCAATTTTCTTTTCTTTCGCTTATGACCTGGATTGAGACAGGATACTTTTACCCAGAAAAATGTTAGCTTCCTGTGGGGTTCTTAAAAACTACAGTTAACGCGGATGAAGTCGCAGGTAGCCGCTATTACTAGCGATTTTAGAATTTTATAATAATGATGGCTATAATAGAAACGACACAATAATAATATCGTCGAGGAAAATGTGATATTCCATAATAAGTGGTCAACAGTGCGGAAAATAAGTACGGGTCCACAACATAGTCGGCTGGGAATGTTTATTTAATGAATTCTGGTATAACAAGCAAATAAAAATATTGTGAAAAGCAAAATTTGTTTCTCATTTTGCGAACAAGTTATGGTTTGGCTCCCTCATCAAAATATTGTTTGTCCTAAATTGTACAATTCCCAAACTGCACCGTATTTGGAAGCGTAGCGCGGGAGTGCGAGTTTTTACATTGCTTTCAAGTAAGTACCTCTCTTTACATTGAAACTCGCGTAGTGCAACACACAGAAAACGCATTCACACGCAGTGTTGCAGATCACGCGCCTGCATGCAGAGAAACTCACGTGTGTATGGCGAAATCTGCAGCAACCACGCGCGTGGCTTCGTCGCCACGCACCCCGCAGCCTAGTGCGGGGTAGTATGAGAAACGCCTTAGCCTCCTTAATAAAAAAAATGCGTCATTGATGTTCCCGAATATTATTATCCAAGGATAATTCTTAATGATATAAAAGACATCATTATCATAATTTAGATACTCTTGTGGAAGTTAGACATGCGACTAACTAGAACATATTCTAACGATGTATCATTATTAAATCTGGATGTAAGTAAACTAACGATTACTTGAAAATGATTTTACCGACTGATGGAAAATTACTAGGTACTTATAAAATTTATTCATTCCAACATGCACATGTAGGACTGGGATTACATGATTAATACAAAATTCGCCAGCCGCTTAATTATACCTAGTCAGGTCATAAATTCTGTCACATGTTGAATATAAAATAAATGAATCAGGTTTATTCATTATGTAACCATTTATATACCAAAATGAACTTAACAAAACATAGATTCTTATGAGAATAAAGTTTATTCAAAATGACCTCCGTCATTTTGAATACAGGCCTTCAATCTGCGCGGCCAGTCGTCTATCGCAGCACGAACGAGGTCCATGTCAATATCGGCGGCTGCCTTAATCAAGGATGTCTTGAGTGACTCCAAATTGGGATGAGGCTTTGAGCACGCTTTTTCCTCCAAGTGTTGCCATATCTTGTAATCTGACGTACTCAAATCTGGACTGGAGGAGGGCCAGTCTTCGTGCCGGATGAAGTCGATTTCACGAGCCGTTAGCCAGTCTTGTGTGCTCTTCGCTCTATGATCTGGCGCCGAATCTTGTTGGAATACCCAGTGCCTGTTATTGAACATGATATGAGAAACAGGTTTCACAAGGTTCGTCAGGACTGTATTTTGATACACAATTGCATTCGTTTTTACACCTTTCTTACAAAATGTACCTCTGTTAAGCCCCAATAAGAAACTCTCAACCATACCATGAGCGAGAATAGAAAATGACCTCGTTGGACACGCGGAATACGGTTGCTCGCTTCTTCACTACTGTGTTTCTTAGGTTATCACGCACATTTTTTGTTTCAAAAATTCAAAAATCAGTATTCTGACGATGCAGACCTGAAAAGGCTGCGAAACGTCAATAAATAAATAAAGTTTCGTGCACTAACCTGTTAACTTGTTAACTAATTTAAATTGAGATTTACGAAAATAAGTCTCGCTTTTTATCAATTCAAAAAGTGTTTTATTATTAATACAAATTTTCTTTACTGTTGAACACAGATATGCATCAGAGAGTGGAGAGCAGACCGTGCTGGAGTCGATGAGGGACTACCTGATCGGCACCATCCAAAAGACCTTCGAAGTTGGGCTGCAGCAAGCGGAGTGCCTCTACGGGGAACTGCTGCAGTGCACGAGGAAAAAAAACCTGGTGAGGATACTGTTTCTTGTTGTCCATTTTGACGTCATCATTTGCCTATCAATGTGCTGGGGCACAGGCCTTCCCAATGGATGGAATAGGGAGATTGGGCCATGATCGAGCTCCTCATTTTGACGTAATCAATAATAATCAACCAAAAGAGGTAGGACATAGCGGATAGATGGAATTGGAGCGCCCGTTTGGGGAAGTAACCTCCTCTTTACAGAAGACAACGCTGCCTTTTGGTGGTGTTGTGTTTCTGTTGGTGAGTAAGGTTCCAGCCGTGACTGCCGGTCTTCGTCGGCCCTAAGGTGGTCTGGGCGCGGCTTGGCCACCGCGTGCCCTAGGTGCCATTCGGCATAGGCCACCCCGTCTGGGGATTGTCTAGTACCCTAGCGCAATCCCCCAGAGGCGTGTCGCCCGGTCCACTCGTTGAGCCGGGCCGGCCCGGGGCTTCCCAGTGAAGTGGCGCACACAGAGGTGACGTGAGGAGGAGGACGCTCCCACATGGGCGTAGGAGGGTACCGGTGAGTTTTAGTGGGTAGGACCGGCGCTGTAGCCCGCGCTGGGTGACTCTCACACACGCCGTGCGCCTCGCCAGCGCACGGTACGGTCCGTCAAGGGATCTCTCATCGTCAAAAAAAAAGAAAGTTCCAGGGCTCCACGGGGTAGGGGAATGGGTCAGGGTAAGCAAGAGATTTCCTCGAGAGGAGCTCGATGGCGCAAGTGGTTAGCGCGTTCGGCTGCGATCGTTCAAGTTAAGCAACTTTCGCAGTGGTCAGTCATTGGAAGGGTGACCAAAAATTTACTATCTCGAGCTCCTCCGTGCTTCGGAAGGCACGTTAAGCCGTTGGTACCGGCTGCATCTGCAGTCGTTAGCACCCACCCGCGCGGTGGGTCATGGCCCAATCTCCCTATTCCATCCATAGGGAAGGCCTGTGCCCCAGCAGTGGGGATGTCCATAATAATGTTATTAGGCTGATGATGATGATGATGATGATGAAGCAAGGGTTCTAGTGATTTTTTGGTATCGCAAGCGTCTATAAGCTATGATGGCCGCTTGCCATCTGGCGGGCCAAAAGCTTGTTTACCACCATTGTAACACAAAAAACAAATTAAGTAGACATCGGTAGACGGCAGGACTTTACCAACGTAATTCCTTCGAAGTATGGATAAACGATAAGACGACTGAAATTGTAAAAAAACTATATAATAGGTTCATTAACCCTTAAAAATTTGTAAAATTTGTCTTAAAAGAATTATCCTAATATTTGCATCCACAGTCGTTAACACTCACCTATCCGTACTGGGCCCGCATGGTTGGTCACGGTCCAGTCTCCCTATTCCATCTATAGAGGAGGCCTGTGCCCCAGCAGTGAGAACATTAATAGGCAGATGATGATGATGATGTTTCTTATATTTTAAATTGAAAAGTAGTTGTCTGTCTTTTACGCTTACACGCCTAAACAGCGCAATTAATTTCAATAAATTTTAGTATGTATGTACTGAAGACCTAGATCGCTGAATAGAAAGAGTTTTTGAGCTAAGTACGATTGTGAGGGTTGATAATGCACCTCTTTCCGTCTTCAATTCTACGTGTACGTAACGAAGTATGCTAAGCCGGGTACTCATTAGCGAGCTGTAACCGTAACCGTTGCAAGCATTGTAACCAAAAGGCATAGTGTGACAGTGGTTCGCTAACCTGCTGCAAGTGGTACACGTGCGGTTTGCAGCGAGCCGTCGGTCTTTACAACTGAGCTACAAGCGTACACACTAGAACCTCGTACTGTATCACGCGTGTTACGGTTACAGCTTGCTAATTAGTACCCGGGTCTAAAAATGTGAATGTGGAAGTTAGGTATAGATAGAAAAGGATCAGTTAGAATGAAAGAAAAATTGGTGCCAAAATAAACAAAGCCTCCTCATCTTAATTGGCTAATCAAACGGCGAGTCACCTCCTTTGTTAAGGGATATTGTTGCCGATGTCGTATTTTCCTTACAATTTCTATCATTGAGATATTCTGCTTAGGCGCTTTCCTCACCGGGTCGTTTCGTTCTCGTTTCTGTACCGAATCTGTACAGATACTTTAAAGAGAACCACTACTTGATCGGCTAGGTTTAGGTGAGGTATCGTTTCGTTTGCTACGATTTTGCGGGAGCGACGGGACTTGCAAGTCGAATGGTTCGGTAGCACTCGACAAAACTTAGTACAGAGAGCTGTGTATCCGTTCCAACAGCATTGGGTATTTAACATCGATGATCCGCTCTCATTTAATAACATTAATTCTGTAAAGAATCTGTACAGATTCGGTACAGAAACGAAAATGAAACGAGCCGGCACCGACGCGGTGCCGGTGAGCTAAGGCGTCTTAATTGTATTTAAACACAAACTTTATTTTATTTTTATTTTTAAGTATTTAACTGGTATATGTACATACACAACCTTAATCACATTCTCATCGACTTAGGTTACACTCTTGAGACACTCAAGGATTTATTAACATAAAATCCTCTTTAATACCATTTGCATATTGAAAAAATGGGAGCTTAACAGACAGAGCTGTACAAAATGGCGGCAAAATCTCATATCTAAGCTTATTGCAAGTCCCAGAGAAAATTTTGTCGCTTAATGGTTCGCGCACATTATATCGGGCCTCAGTGGGGTGGAGCGGGCCGCAGCGCATCACAAAATGTTTATTTAGCACATTAGTGACGGGCCGAATTGCAGCGCATTGACGGATTTTGCGTACAGTGCACAGCTAGACGTCCTTGCAACTACTCGTATATATGCACTTTAATTCGGCGGGGCGGGCCGCACGAGGGTTTGAGCGGATATTTGTGGTGAAACCCGACCCGCTGCGGCCTGACATAATGTGCGCGAACCTTAAAAGCGTATTTTTACGACATAGAATTTTCATGTAGCGCCGCCTCGTAATATCCAAAGCTGTGGATCTGAATGCTCAAAGCAATAGTAGGTATTATCTTTATCGACAAAGTCAACTCAACGAAAAGTAAATTTATAGGGATTTTTTTTGCTACATAGGACATTGAAAACAAACAAATACATAACACTAAGCATTTATTTACCGTACTACCGTACGAGATGAACACCTAAAATTGTGTAGTTTTCACATATTATTGAGTTCGATATTTCATTCGTTTTGACATGACTAATATAGGAGTTTATAATATTATTATAACACTAGGAATATGCAACCAATTACTCATGAAACGTGAAAGCTACATTATTAAACTGATTTTTTTATAACATCACCATAATCTTTTTTGTTCATCTTTAACATGTCGCATTACGTGTTTAATTGTTATTTCAAAAATCAGACCTTATCAACAAGCATCGGTGGTTCAGTGGTAGAAAGCTCGCATGCCACGCGGGCGGCCCGGGTTCGATTCGCAGCCGGGGAAGAACTTCTTTATTTTCAACTTTTTATAAGCCAGGGTAACATCAACTAAGTATAAAATATATTTGAGGCGAAGTAAATCACTCTAAAAGTTTCTCTTGCATGTTGGTTTTATAAAACCACCCAATTTTTTTACTAGAAATAATAAACTTGGTCCTGGTATCAGACGGGAGTTACATGTACATATAGCTAATCGACTTAATCATCCTGAAATTCTGTGAAATAAAATTTTCGTGAAATTAATACCTTTTTCGGTGCCGCATACAAACGAGAATTAATTTTATCAATGAAAGCTGTGGCTCGCACCCAGCTTAAAATAGGGTCAGAAAATTCCCTTTTTAATTGGACTCCGAATTTTGTAAAGGGAAATAATATTTAAAAAAAAGGGAATCATTCTCCCAAGTTTGCTTTGCACTAATTATTTTAAATGCTCACTTTCCAGAAGTGCACAATAATTTTATCTTTCATTAGTAAAATGGCGTATTTTTTGTGTTCATTGAGTACTCATTGATTAACGAATCCTAAAGAACTGAAAACTCATCTAAACTCCACACACTAAGGCATAAAATCTTTTTTATTTTAAATTTACATTACTTTTATTTTACATTACTTTAAGATTTTAATATCTTTTCTATTTCGTTGACGAAACTATTAGTAGTGAACATACTTATTTTTTATAATTTTCTCGAGCCGATATTAATAGGTTTAGGAATAAGAAAGTGCGCTGGGTTAAGCGGGACACGGAGCGGGCGTCCACTCTGCGTGTTTGTTTCATAGACATGATTGACTGTCTTCTGCGCTCTCGTCTGCGTTCTCTTTTGACTAGGTAGTGATATTAACAAAAATAATCCATTATCGTCTGTTTTCACACGCGCAATCGAAATTGTACTGGTGGCGCTCAAAGAGGCACCCTTCTCTCACGGGTCCAACATCGCCGAGCAGCTGTAAGAATTTCTACAGAAACCGGGTAACCGGGTTTCACAACTACCCCCATACAGATGGTGCTCGCCCCTCACGCCCAAGTCCGTCGCCCGCTCGTTGGTCGCTCACTGGACCTCCCTCATGGATCTCACCCGGTGGGCTTGACCGCGCTGAGGGCGATGCGTGAAGCCGTAGAGAGGGGGGTTTAACCCCAAGAACAGTCTCGTTTGTTAACGGGACTCGAACCCGATTCGTTTGAGGTGGGCACACGCCCAGGACAGATCTCCCGAACGCCGCGGCGCCTTCGGCGCCGGCGACGCGCCAGAAGGGGCCAGACGCGCCACGGATTGTATGGGTCCCGCGACCTAATTCGGAGCAGATCTCCGTGAGGGACGTCCGCACCGTGCTCCTGTTTAAGGCAGCGCACGCCCTTAAGTTGATATTAGCACTACACAATGTTTGAACAAGATCCCACTTATGAATCAAAAGAGCCTCCAGTCGTTAATCGCGAACGTATTAAATGTCCCAACTTTCGAGTGGCCTATAATTCGCAGGCCCGTCCCACACTATCACATCGAAACTTATAAGTACTATCGTATTGCGTATAAGCCTTGGGATTTTTCTGGTTTATTTTTGTGCTTCACGTTCAAAGTTACTTATTACTTTATAACT